TATGTTTAAGCTTTCTCTACCTCCCCATAAAGTTATCAAAGTTATAGTTTCCTCGTATGTCCAGTTTCGGTTTTTTTTTGTTTTTTTCCCTGAAGCCATTTTGTCTTCTTCCATGTTGACACCGCTCGAACAAAACTGGAAGTTGAAGTCACAAACTAGCGCCCTCAATGATATTTTTTATACACAAGGTTAAATCTTGGTAAAACTATGGTAAAACTAACCGCGTGAATAATCCAAGTGCGAACAATGGTGAAATGTACCCATGACTTTGGTTAAAGTTACCCTGGTTAAATTTACCATTATTTAAAATCCAGTGCAAACAAGGCTTAAGGCGAGAGATGAAGATGCACTGGATAGCCTAGAATCATGTGAATAACTGTAGCCGTACACAATCTATGTCTGTAACTTAAATATCTTTGTGATAGCAAATTCAACACTATTCCTTTGAAGACATAACTCCAAAATTTAAACACCTTTAAATGCCATCTAAAAATCATAATTTTCTATTTTTTCCCCCCTTATGTTTGGGAAGGGGTGTGGCCCCGACCCGAGTAGGCGTCGCCTACCAATCGGCTCAGGGCCATGCCCACTGGCTTCCATTTTGGCCTATTTCATTTTTCTGGCTAAACCCCTGCATCTGATGTAGGCCATAATGCTATTCTACTAACCTGGTCTCTTTTGTGGGTTCTCCCTTAGTGTGGTCGATTACATGCATCTGATTTTTGTCAGGTGCAAACATAGAAATGTTAGCATCACTTCTGCTGAGGTGCACTAGCACTCTATAACAAAAATAAAAGATTAATCAATTATGAATCTTTTTAAAGCTTTTTCTGTCACAGTTGAATAGTACACTATACTGTTGTCACCAAGAGTACAGTAACTCCTTAGATGAGACTTTTAACATTTAGACCACCATCACAATTTTCTCACAGGTTTTTTTCCTAATTTGGTCTTGTTCTTTATAAAACTTTTCATATTATGCTAATCTGTTGTTCCATTATTTTATTTGCACTCTTTAGTCCATAATAAGACACCATTTCTGCACTTGCTGATGGTTTAATACAGGGTATATTCCTTGTGAATGTTTGCCTTAGGTACAGTATACCTTTTTTGAAATAATTGGTGCATCACATATATTAGACTGACAAAAACTGACATTTTTAAGACACAAAAATTTGATGAAAAACTTCTGAAAGGTTTTTAGAATAGATAACAATCGAAACAGTAAACATACGCAGAGGCTTCATGTATTTCGGTTCCATCATAGACACCTGATCCCGATAACACCTGAAAAATGGAATTTAAAAAAATTATGTCTCTTTTAGAGATACTGTAGAGTCACGTGTGAATGAACACCAACAACATCCACCAAAATAATCAGAAAGATGATAAAACATTTTTTTACACATTTCCACAGTAGGGCTCCCTGCCTAACATTCCCTTAGTTCTAGACTAGACTATATGTAGCCGAGGCCTATCATTTTTAGATTCAGAGTAAGCCCTGACTGATGGTCACTGCAAAAGAAGAGGGGTCAAACATGTGACCCTTTAGATCATTTTTAATGGTGTTAGACCAGGGGTTCTCAACTATATCAGAATAGATCTTTACAGCAATAACAAAAGACACAGCAATCTCCACTGTGCCAGTCTATTGTTTACATCCAACACCCAAGTTAGGGTCATGTGATGCCCACCAACGATTCAGTCTATTGAATAAATTTGTGCCAGGGCATGATATGCTCAGTCCAGGGGTTGGGGGTGTTCACGTTTCCGAAATTAGGAATAAAAAAAAAAAAAAGCTGCTAGACACTCATACAGGGCATTTTAACCTAAGAAAGTTACTTGCCATATATGGAACTACACACTACAGGCTATGGTGCTGGACCGGCTGCACCGAAAATCAAGCAAGCGACAGTGCGAGAGGCCGAAAGTTTTTTTTTTCTGTTTACTGCAATAGTTCTTTGTGGGACAATAAAGTATATAGGCCTAGTCGGTAAAATAGAAAGCAAAATTATGGTTAGAAATCTAGGCCCAAGCCTAGCGGAAAATATTATTTTTGGCTTGTTCTCCCCTGTGTTAGACCATCTATTGACTGTACCTTTGCCATGACCTTAATTTAAAAAAATAAAATTTTGAAACAAAAACAATAAATGATGATCTCTTTACAGTATGATGATCTCTTTACAGTATGAAGTTATCATCATCACCCTATAATGTGCATAAACCTCATATAAGTATATTT